CAATTACGTCCCTCTCACTCCTATCAGCTTCCTGGATCGCGCCGGAATTGTCTACCGAGACAGAGTCTCTGTCGTCTACGGTGATGTCAAGTTCACCTGGAAAGAGACGCACGAGAGGTGCATCAGGCTCGCTTCTGCTCTTGCGCAGCTCCAGATTTCCCGTGGAGATGTGGTACAGTACTCTTTCATCTTCTGCTGCTATTTTTATATTTTTTTGTGAAAATTGTGAATGTGTATTTAACACAAAACTTGCATCTAACCTAATCCTAAAACTAATCTAACCTAATCCTAAAATTAATTGACAATAGGTGGAATCACCTTCCTTATATTTAACCCATAAACATCTTATTTTGCTCTCACATGCAGCCTGTTATGAATGTCGGGCTATATCACGTGGGTTAATAAGTCCCCTTAAATGCAGGTTCGGTATTTTCAACTTTGAGTCCTGTCAAGTGGACTAACAAAGGTTTTCCAAGATAAAATCATACATGTGAACTCAACAAAAAAACTTGCAGTTAACCTAAAATCAATTGACAATAAATGAAGTGACTTTCCTTATTTAATCCACAAGTTTCTTATTTTTATATTCGATGTGAGATTTTCTCACTTAACATTTCTGTTATTAGAATTTGACTTTTTCTTGTTTAGAAAATAGCAGATTCTTATCTGGGCATGTCGGATTTCATAGGATATATCTTTTTTGGCTAAAAACACTTTAATTAGATTGATATATAATCAAAGTTGAAAATTATTTCTAATCAAAGTTTAAGGATTAAGTTAGTATTTATTTTTAAAGTTTAAAAAATAAATTGATATTATTTTCAAAGTTGGAGGATTATTTGGTATCAAAAATTAAAGTTTAGGGACAATTTTGGTACTTTCTGAAATTGAGGGACAATTTTGGCACAAATCTGAAAGTTAAAGGATCAAATTGGTATTTTAACCATTTCTAGTTTACCATTTGTCATGTTTTGCTTCACTTTAGGAGATTATTATTTCCCAGTGCTTTACAATTTTTAAGAAATAATGCAGCATTGTTTACAAAGTAGCTTTTGGCAAAATTGGATTTCTTTTTCCTTTTATGTGACTTTACTTGAGAGAATTGTTATGATTCTTCAGGACACTTTTTAATTGTTTTAGTGGCTTATGCATTTCTCTACCCATATTAAGAGTTGAAGAGATTGCAAAGAGCAGATTCTGAGTAACCTGAAACCCCGTCCTTTCCCCCTGCTGTCTCTCTTGGAAGAATTTTGGCCCCCGGCAGTTGTTTTTTTGACCATAAGTTGAGAAATTTGTCTGATATATAAGTTTGCTTCAAGTTGTTATGCTGTTTCTTTTCTAAATTCTCACAGCGTTTGAAAATTTTTTCAGCTATCTATATTTATGTGCGTCCCTGTAAGTCTACTGGTCATTCAACTCAGCAGGCCATGCGGTTCATATTCTCTAACCTTTTTTGTGCTTTGAGTTATGATCATCTTTTGTTTTTTGAGCAGGTTGCTGCTTTGGCTCCAAATATCCCAGCTATGTATGAGCTGCATTTTGGTGTTCCAATGGCTGGGGCAATTCTTTGTACACTTAATATACGTCTTGATTCAGCCATGGTGGCATTGCTGCTGAGACATTCAGAGGCCAAAATCATTTTTGTTGATTACCACTTTCTCCATATTGCTCAGGGAGCATTTCAAATACTGTCCAAGGCCAGGACAAAGCTGCCTCAGCTGATCTTGATCCAAGAACCTGAACAGCAAGCTCCCATCAGCAGCAAAACCAATTTTACACAAACAAAAGACTTGGAATATGAGAGTTTTTTAGCCATGGGAAAAGCAGATTTTGAGATCAGAAGGCCAAAAGATGAATGGGAACCTATCTCGCTTAATTACACATCTGGCACAACATCGAGTCCCAAAGGCGTCATTTATAGCCATAGAGGTGCCTATCTTAATTCTCTGGCAACAGTTCTTAGTAGTGAAATGGGATCAATGCCTGTGTATCTATGGACTGTCCCCATGTTTCATTGCAATGGATGGTGCCTCGCATGGGGTGTGGCTGCACAAGGTGGCACAAATATTTGCTTAAGAAATGTCACTGCAAAGGGAATATTTAGCAATATTGCTCAGCACAAGGTTACACACATGGGTGGCGCGCCAACAGTTTTAAACATGATGTTAAATGCTCCTGCTAGTGACCAAAAGCCACTTCCAGGGAAGGTATTGGTGACAACAGGTGGCTCAGCACCACCTCCAAATGTTCTCTTCAAGATGGAAGAGCTAGGATTCAGTGTGACTCAGTTGTATGGGTTGACAGAAACTTATGGCCCTGGAGTGTTTTGCACCTGGAAACCTGAATGGAATGTCCTTCCTCGAGATGCACAGGCTAAAATCAAGGCTCGGCAGGGGTTGCACCATGTTGGGTTGGAGGAATTTGATGTTAAAGATCCTTTTACCATGAAGAGTGTACCAGCTGATGCAAAAACCATAGGGGAGATTATGTTCAGGGGTAACACTGTCATGAATGGATACCTTAAAAATGTTGAAGCAACAACAGAGGCTTTCACTGGTGGATGGTTTCACAGTGGGGACTTAGGAGTGAGACACTCTGATGGTTACATAGAAATCAAGGACCGCTCAAAGGACATCATCATTTCTGGTGGAGAAAATATTAGTTCAATTGAAGTTGAATCTGTGCTTTGTGGCCATTCAGCTGTTCTTGAGGCAGCTGTGGTGGC